TTTACAGCTGTTAGCAGTTGCCTTATGTATTGAGGTGCTCCTATGTTAGGTGCATATATATTTATAATTGTTATATCTTCTTCTTGGATTGATCCCTTGATTATTATGTAGTGTCCTTCCTTATCTCTTGTAGCATTTTTTATTTTAAACTCTATTTTATCTGATATTAGTATTGCTACTCCAGCTTTCTTTGGATTTCCATTTGCATGGAATATCTTTTTCCATCCCCTCACTCTCAGTCTGTATGTGTCCCTAGGTCTGAAGTGGGTCTCTTGAAGACAGCATATATATGGGTCTTGTTTTTGTATTCATTCAGTGAGCCTGTGTCTTTTGGTTGGATCATTTAATGCATTCACATTTAAGGTAACTATCGATATGTATGTTCCTATTACCATTTTCTTAATTGTTACGGGTTTGTTTTTGTAGGTCCTTTTCTTCTCTTGTGTTTCCCATTTAGTGAAGTGCCTTTAGCATTAGTTGAGGAGCAGGTTTGGTGGTGCTGAATTCTGTTAGCTTTTGCTTGTCTGTAAAGCTTTTGATTTCTCCATCAAATCTGAATGAGATCCTTGCCGGGTAGAGTAATCTTGGTTGTAGGTTCTCCCTTTCATCACTTAAATATATCGTGCCACTCCCTTCTTGCTTGTAGAGTTTCTGCTGAGAAATCAGTTGTTAACCTTATGGGAGTTCCCTTGTACGTTATTTGTCCTTTTTCCTTGTTGCTTTTAATAATTTTTCTTTGTCTTTAATTTTTGTCAATTTGATTACTATGTGTCTCAGTGTGTTTCTCCTTGGGTTTATCCTGCCTGGGACTCTCTGTGCTTCCTGGATTTGGGTGGCTATTTCCTTTCCCATTTTACGGAAGTTTTTGACTATGATCTCTTCAAATATTTTCTCAGGCCCTTCTCTCTCTCTTCTTCTTCTGGGACTCCTATAATGTGAATGCCGGTGTGTTTAATGTTGTCCCAGAGGTCTCTTAGTCTGTCTTCATTTCTTTTCATTCTTTTTTTCTTTATTCTGTTCCACGGCAGTGAATTCCACCATTCTGTCTTCCAGGTCCCTTATCCGTTCTTCTGCCTCAGTTATTCTGCTCTTGATTCCTTCTAGTTTATTTTTCATTTCAGTTATTGTATTGTTCATGTCTGTTTGTTTGTTCTTTAATTCTTCTAGGTGTTTGTTCTTTAATTCTTCTAGGTGTTTGTTAAACATTTCTTGCATCTTTTCGATCTTTGCCTCCATTCTTTTTCCGAGGTCCTGGATTATCTTCACTATCATTATTCTGAATTCTTTTTCTGGAAGGTTGCCTGTCTCCACTTCATTTAGTTGTTTCTCTGGGGTTTTACCTTGTTCCTTCATCTGATACATAGTCTTCTGCCTTTTCATCTTGTCTATCTTTCTGTGAATGTGGTTTTTGTTCCACAGGCTGCAGGATTGTAGTTCTTCTTGCTTCTGCTGTCTGCCCTCTGGTGGATGAGGCTATCTAAGAGGCTTGTGCAAGCTTCCTCTTGGGAGGGACTGGTGGTGGGTAGAGCTGGGTGTTGCTCTGTGGACAGAGCTCAAGAAAACTTTAATCCACTTGACTGCTGATTGGTGAGGCTGTGTTCCCTCCCTGTTGGTTTGGCCTGAGGCGACCCAGCACTGGAGCCTACAGCAGGCCTATTTGTGGGGTTAATGGCGGACTCCTGGAGGGCTCACACCAAGGAGTACTTCCCAGAACTTCTGCTGCCAATGTCCTTATCCCCACGGTGAGCCACAGCCACAGCCTGCCTCTGCAGGAGACCCTCCAACACTAGCAGGTAGGTGTGGCTCAGTCTCCTATGGGGTCACTGTTCCTTCCCCTGGGTCCCGACGTGCACACTACTTTGTGTGTGCCCTCCAAGAGTGGAATCTCTGTTTCCTCTAGACCTGTCGAAGTCCTGCAATCAAATCCCACTAGCCTTCAAAGCCTGACTCTCTGGGAATTCCTCCTCCCGTTGCTGGACCCCCCAGGTTGGGAAGCCTGACGTGGGGCTCAGAACCTTCCCTTCAGTGTGTGGACTTCTGTGGTATAAGTATTCTACAGTTTGTGAGTCTCCCACCCAGCGGTTATGGGATTTGATTTTATTGTGATTGCGCCCCTCCTACCATCTCATTGTGGCTTCTCCTTTGTCTTTGGATGTAGGCTGTCTTTTTTGGTGAGTTCCAGTGTCTTTCTTTCAATGGTTGTTCAGCAGTTAGTTGTGATTCCTGTGCTCTCGCAAGAGGGAATGAGCAAGCTGACATTCTGACCAGGTCGTATTCCAATTCCAGATAGTTTCCCATTGATCAGGGTGAATCTAAATGCCTGCACATAACATACAGACTCTCCTTGAGATTATTTTATGCCTGTTGGCCAGCTTGGTATCCAACGTATTTCTCTCCATTCCAGCTACACGGCAGTTTGCTGTTCTCTGAACCTGCCATATTAGTTTATGCTTCTATTCCTTTGGATTCGCCCCTTTACATAATTGGAGTACTGCTTCCTCCTTCTGTGTATGTCAAGTTCCCACAAATATTCTAACCCTCTCTCAAGTCCTACTGACTCCTATCATCCTTCCTCCAAGTTCCCACTTCACTCTAATTGAGATTTGCTTTCTCTACTTCACTATAAGAAATTTAGAAAGTGGTCAGTTTTATTGTTTTTACATTAAATGGTAATAATCAAAACAGTATCAAATATGGCTTACATATTTTGTTATAATGTGAAGGTAATGAGCAAGTAGAAATTGATGTAGAGAGTATGAATTTTTCTGACAGAAATAAAATGGCAATAAGTGAATATGCTAGAAATAATATACTCAGAGTGGGCAGTAAAGTTTTCAGCATTCATGAAAGTTATGAGTTTAGAAAGAATAAAGTTGGCAGGTAGTGAACTGAAATTTAAAGATGAGATGTTTTAAAATTACCCAGTTGTCTACTAAATAAAGTGTTTTAATAGAAATTTGAAATTCAGAGTTATGTTTGAGAAGAAGACACGTTCTGTTTTTAAATGTAAATGATTTATGGTTTTCATGGTCATATGCAGCTCTTCTAAAACAGAAATTCATATTTTCAAAATTAAAATTGGCAATCAAATTTAAATGTGAAGAAACAGAAAAGTTAACAAAATAATACAAAAGTGTTATGATTTCTTGTTTTCAGTCTCCAAATTATCCACTAGATTTTAATCCATATAAATTAAGTAGAAAATATGTTACAATATTTTTATGCAGCATTTCTAATACTTTTAATGTTGTCTCATTATAAAGAAATATTTCTGAAGTCTTATTTGAAATATTAATAGTGATTTTAAATGATGAAAAATTTTCAAATAATGGAGTATTTGGTTGGCACCATAGTGACACCAAAGACACAGTGTGAGGCAATTAAAATACATGACTACATCCAAAATTTAGTTATCTATAGTCTTCAGGAAATAAAACCAGTTTTGGAAGACACTGTGAAAGACTTTCATATAACAATTATACAAACATCTTTAATTACATACTAGTAAAGAAATTAAGTGAAATGAACTATGTAAGAACTTTCCAGGAAAAGGCCAATCACAATCTGGATGTAACAGTAGCTAAACAAGAAATTTGCCACCTGCAAGGTAACAAAATCTGTGTGAGGAGGTGTGGCCTATGCATTCTAGTGGGTACCTAGCTAACTCATTTGTATTTAACTTCTCAGGGACATTTGGCACCTTCTGCTTTGTAACTCAGCAGATTTGGAGGATTTTCTTATTTACCTTAGAGCTTGAAGAGCAACTTAAGATTCGTCCTGTTTTTACTGCTTGAACAGTTAGTTCCCAGGTAAGACTGACACATAATTTTCACAACTTCCTCTCTCTTTTTACATTTCTAATCCAACTTTAATTCAGTAACATCTAGCATTGTGGAATTCTCAGTGAATTTGTAAAGTCTTGTACATGTGGATAATTTAGTTTTGCCTCTCAACGTGTTCTGAAAAACCCTCAGAGACACATAATTTTATATTTATTTAAAACCCCTTTCAGAACGTTTTGTTAAAAAATAAAGTTAAAAATAAAGTTGCTTGATCTTTCAAGCAACTAAAATATCAATCAGTAAGTTACTGGAATATCATTGGTTAAAAAGTTTAACTGCATAAATAACAATATTAATTTTAGTAAAAGAATTACTGAAGTACACACTCTACCCTTCAACTGTGCTGGGTAAAGGTTTTTGTTTTATTGATAACTCTAGGGTTCTGCTAACTTTCCAACTAGGAGAAAAGATTTAGAAACCCAAATGTCAAAATAAAGTTTGAAATAAGAAAAGTTTCACTGCCTAATTAGTAGATTTTGGAGACAAAGTTAGCAGGTAATTAATACTTCTTAATGCCTGTTTTGAGCCAGCCTCTATGTTGGCTGCCTTTTTGTCTCGTATCCTTCTCACAAATTTGAGGAGATGTTCTGTTCTCCATACTATATGTTGGTAAACTGATGGGCACAAAGGTTAAATCACTTGCATATGGTGCTAAAAATCATATGGCACAGAAAGTCTCAAATACTGTTCTAGATGATCCTAAAGTCCACAGATCTTTCACATCGTTACAAAATATAATTTTGATGATTAAGTACTTAATCCAAAAAATTTTCCCATTAAAATAATTTTTCCCAGAGCAACAGATGTAAAATCAATCAGAATAACTTAAATAATGTGAAACGCTTCATATAAACTAGTTGTGAAGTTGCGATACTGTTATTTTTTTTAATAGACTTTATTTTTTAGAGGAGTTTTAAGTTCACAGCAAAATTGAGCAGAAAGTATGCAGATTTCTCATGTACCTCCTGCCCCCGCACGTGTATAACCTTTGCCAGTATCAACATCCCCTGCCAGCATGGCACATGTATTACAGGTGATGAACCTACATTGACACATCATAATCACCCAAGCCCATAGTTTACATTACACTGCACTCTTGGTGTTGAACATTCTATGGGTTTGGAAAAACATACAATGACATGTACCCATCCTTATAGTAGTATACCGATTAGTTTCATTGTACTCCATCTATTCATTCCTCCCGCTTATCCCCGGCAACCACTGATCTTTTTATTGTCTCCATAGTTTTGTGTTTTCCAGAATGCCATATAGAAATAATTATACTATATATAGTCTTTTCAGATTGGCTTCTTTCACTTAGCAGTATGCATTTAAGTTTCCTCTATGCCTTTACCTGGCTTGATAGCTCATTTCTCTTTAGTGCTGAATGATATTCTATTATCTGGATATACTACAGTTTATTTATCCAGTCACAGACTGGAGGACATTTTGGTTGCTTCTAAGATTTGGCAATTATGAATAAAGCTGCTATAAACATCCGTGTGCAGGTTTTTGTGTGGATATATTTTCAACTCCTTTGGTAAATATGAAAGAGATGTTTATGGATATTATGCTGTGGATATGTGTAGTTCTGTAAAAAACTTGACAAACTGTCTTCCAACATGGCTATACAATTTTGCATTCCAAACAGCAGTGAATAAGGATTCCTGTTGCTCCATTTCGATACCAGCAATCGCTGTTGTCAGTATTCTGGAATTTGACCTTTCTGATAGATATTTAGCAGTATTTCACTGTTTTAATTTGCAATTCCTTAATGACATGTAATATGGAGCATCCTTTCATATGCTTATTTGCCATCTGTGTATCTTCAGTAAAGTGTCAGTTAAGATCTTTTGCTCATTTTTTAATTGGATTGTTTTCTTAATGGTTGAATTTTAAGAGTTCCTTGTACAATATATATTTGGATAAAAGTACTTTATCAAAGGTATCTTTTGCAAATATTTCCTCTCTGTCTGTGCCTTGGTTGTTCATTTTCTTGATAATGAGTGACATATGAGAATGTATTCCTTTCCTTTCCCCACCTCAGTCCCCATCTCAGTATAGATGACTTTTCTGTTTAATTCAAGGTTGATATTTTAGCATGATATTGGGATATAATCCAAGGAGATAAAAAATTAATCCTATTCACAGTTGAGTCCCAGTACATCCTGTCAATTCTTCTGGCTTCTCAGTACATCAAATATTGTGCTACCAAACATTCTGCCGTTTCATATTGTATCATTGGGGTATTGAGTTCCCAAATAACTTTACACTATATAAAATAAAGAACTTAACATGAAATAAATTGAGCTGCCTCTAAGATGAAAAAAGAAGATGGAAAGAAAAAGATGTGTCAAGAAAGACAGTCTAAGAAGAAGAAAAAAATATGCCATTTTATTATGCAGCAACAACAGAAAACACTAATTTCCTTCCTATCAAAATTAAAGTCTTTGGACTTCCCTGGTGGCACAGTGGTTAAGAATCCACCTGCCAATGCAGGGGACATGGGTTCGATCCCTGGTCCGGGAAGATCCCACATGCTGCGGAGCAGCTAAGCCTGTGCACCGCAACTACTGAGCCTGAGCTCTAGAGCCCGCGAGCCAAAACTACTAAAGCCTGTGAGCCACAGCTACTGAGCCCGTGTGCCACAACTACTGAAGCCTGTGTGCCTAGAGCCTGTGCTCCACAACAAGAGAAGCCACCTCAATGAGAAGCCCACGCACCACAACAAAGAGTAGCCCCCACTCGCCGCAACTAGAGAAAGCCCGCGTGCAGCAATGAAGACCCAACGCAACTGAAAATAAATAAAATAAAAATTAAAGTCTTTGTTATCTAAATTTCTTTCAGGGCTTGCGGGTGGTAGGGGTGATTGCTTATACAGTCATACCTCAGAGATATTATGGGTTTGGTTCCAGACCACTGCAATAAAGCAAATATCACAATAAAGAGAGTCACAGGTATTTTTTGGTTTGCCAGTGCATATAAAAGTTATGTTTACACTATAATGTAGTCTAATTAAGTGTGCAATAGCATTAGGTTTAAATAAACATACCTTAATTTTAAAATACTTTATAGCTAAAAAATGCTAAACGTCATCTAAGCCTTCAGAGAGTCTTAATTTTTTGTTGGTGGAGGGTCTTGCCATGATGTAGATGGCTGCTGACTGATCAGGGTAATGGTTGCTGAAGGGTGGGGCATTTGTGGCAATTTCCTTAAAAAACACAACGATGAATTTGCAACATCTATTGACTCTTCCTTTCACAAAAGATTTCTCAGTAGCACGCAATGCTGTTTGACAGCATTTTACCCACAGTAGAACTCCTTTCAAAATTGCAGTCAGTCCTCTCAAAACCTTCTGACACTTTCTCAACTAAGTTTATGGAAAATTCTAAATCCTTTGTTGTTATTTCAGTAATCTTCACAGCATCTTCAGGAGTAAATTTCATCTCAGGAAACCACTTTCTTTGCTCATCCATAAGAAGCAACTCCTCAACCGTTCAAGTTTTACCATGAGATTGCAGCAATTCAGTCACATCTTCAGGCTCTATTTCTAATCCTAGTTCTCTGGCTATTTCCACCACATCTGCAGTTACTTCCTCCACTCAAGGCTTGAACCCCTCAAGAACTGAACCCCTCAATCCGTGCAGCTTGGAATCAACTTCTTCCAAACTCCTGTGTATGTTAACATTTTGACCTCTTCCCGTGAATCACAAGTGTTCTTAATGGCGTCTAGAATGGTGAACCCTTTCCAGGTTTTCCATTGAATTTGCCCAAATCCATCAGAATAATCACTACCTTTGGCAGCTATAGCCTTAGAAAATGCATTCCTTCAATAATAAGACTTGAAAGTCAAAATTACTCCTCGATCCATGGGCTGCAGAATGGGTGTTGTGTTAGCAGGCATGACAACAACATTCATCTCATTGTGCATCGCCATCAGAGCTCTTGGGTGTCCAGGTGCACTGTCGGTGAGCAGTAATATTTTGAAAGGAACCTTTTGGTCTGAGCAGTAGGTCTAAACAGTGGGCCTAAAATATTCAGTAAACCATATTGTAAAAAGATGTGCTGTCATCCATGCTTTGTTGTTCCATTTATAGAGCACAGGCAGGGTAGATTTAGCATAATTCTTAAGGGCCCTAGGATTTTCAAATGGGCATTGGCTTCAACTTTTAGTCACCAGCTGCATTAGCCCCTAACAAGAGAGTCAGCCTGTCCTTTGAAGCTTGGTGTTGACTTCCACTCTCTAGCTATGAAAGGCCGAGATGTCATCTTCTTCCAGTAGAAGGCTGTTTTACTTAAATTGAAAATCTGTGGTTTAGTGTGGCCGCCTTCATTATTTATCTGAGTTAGATTTTCTGGGTAACTTGGTGAATCTTCTACATCACCACTTGCTGCTTCGCCTTGTATAATACTTCGATTTTACAAAGTTGGCTTCTTTCCTTCAACCTGATGAACCAACATCTGCTGGCTTCACACTTTTTTTCTGCAGCTTCCTCACCTCTCTCAGCCTTCATAAAACTGAGGAGACTTAGTGCCTTGCTCTGGATTAGGCTTTGGCTTAAGGGAATGTTGTGTTTGGTCTGATGTATCCAGACCACTCAAACTTTCCCCATATCAGTGATAAGGCTGTTTCGCTTTCTAATGATGCACGTGTTCACTGGAGCAGCAGTTTGATTTTCTTCAAGAACGTTTCCTTTGTACTCACAACTTGGCTAACTGTTTGGCATGAGAGGCTTAGCTTTCTCCTACCTTGGTTTTTGACATGCCTCCCTCACTAAGCTTAACCATTTCTAGCTTTTGATTTAAAGTGAGGGGCATGCAACACTTCCTCTTACTTGAATACTTAGAGGCCAATGTACATTTGCTAATTGGCCTGAGTTCAAATTGGTGTGTCTCAGGGAATAGGGAGGTCTGAGGAAAAGGAGAGAGAAAGGGGAAAAGGTCGGTTGGTGGAACAGTCTGAACAC